ATGTTTGTAGGGAAATGAATCCTGTCAAGGATCAAGCACAGGAAGGGAAAAGACTGAGAACCAAACAATTATTGACTTGATCATTTTTTTCTTTTCACAATTGACTTAATCATTGCCTTGCACGCTCACAAATCATGATTTTTATAGCTAATCCCTTCTCTTTGTTCTTCAAGTTTCTAAACAGTAAATGAAAACCCTTCATTTTAATATATTATTCCTTTTTTTAATTATTGGCTTTTTTTTACCGTATATATTTCTCATTATTTTTTAAATAATTTTTTATACTAAAATATTGATAATTTTTTTATTTTTAATATCAGTATATCAAATAATTTAAAAATATTAAAAATATATTAATTTAAAATAAATAAATAAAATTTAAAATATTTTTAAAACGAAACATAACAACCCTTTCATATCCAAAGTGAAGAGTAAATTGTGTGGCTATTCCTATTCCACAAAACGTGTGCTTCACCCTATTCCTGGCCACAAAAGCTCCCCAACAGACACGTCACTTCTTCGCACGTTAGTTCCACATAACACCTACTCACTAAAATACGCCTACTCGTTTGACACTGGCAACCGAAACCCACTCTTGCCTTCACCACTTTGCCTTCGTTTCCCTAGAAACAAACACAAAACTTTTCTTCTTCCGATTTTATTTTATTTTATCCTCTCTCTTTGAAAAGTTGCTCTCATTACTTATAGACTCATTCTCTTGATGCCAAACGCCACCTCAGAATGGCTTATCAAATCAACTCTCCCTCCACTCTCCATTTCCCCGTCAAAAAACTTTCGTGGGAAATCAAATTCCAGGAAAACAACTCTTAAGTTGAGAACTTTCTATGGCAGCTCAAGAAGATATTATGAGGAACAGAAAAAGTTTAAGGTCTTTTGCTCAGTCCGAGAAGAAGACAATAATAAAAGAAATGGCAAGTTCGGTTTTTGATACTCGTGTCGAAGTTTCGAACTTTATTGGTTTTTTGTGTTCTTATATATTAAAAAGATAGTAACTTTTTGTTAATATTTTATGTTATTTGTTTGTGGGTTTGCTTAGTGAAGAGGGTTTTTGTATTTATTTTTAGGGGAAGAGCCACCGGAGTCATTGTTTATGAAGGAACTGAAGAGGAGGGGTATGACTCCGACTTCATTGCTTGAAGAGACCAATAGAGGCAATTATGGAGTGGAAGATGAAATGAAAATTGGAGAGGAAGACTGGGGTTTCTCTAAAAGAAATTCAGTATCAACTGAAATTGATAAAGGTCTGTCTAATCAAAGGGAGAAATCAATGGCTCTTAATAGTGAAGGACTTGAGGTTAATTTTGTTTCTTTGCTCTTTGTATATTTCTCAAAGTCTGTTTTTCCATTTGCTTATTTGTCAAAGAATTGCTTGAATGTTCTATTAACCATGCCATGCCAAAACTTGAGCTACAATCGTGGGAGAATTATTTGGTGTGTATACTTCCTTACCTATATGTAAAGGTTATTCCTTGCACATCTAAGCTCAGGTGTGCTAAGACGGGCTTACATTTTTCCTTCGTTCCAGGGATTAGTTCCTCGGGCTAAACTTCTGCTTACAATTGGAGGAGCTTTCTTCTTGGGATTTTGGCCATTGATTCTCATAATTGTTGCATCTTTTTCTGCTCTCTACTCTGTAAGTTATCTTTCTGCCACGCCTTTGTCTGTTATATGTTACCACGGATCATTGCCAATTCAGACATCGCTTCTTTGTCCGAACCTGGTGCTGTATTAGGTTAAGGTATTTTTATTTTCTAAAAATAGATTGTACTGTGGATCAGTGCCAATTCCGTTATCATTATTTCTACACTGACATGTTATTCAGCTATTTGAGATATGCTTTTTGGTGGAAGGTGATCAAGTTATGTGGTGTATTGAGATTTGAGATCTGAAAGTGGTACTGTGATGTAATGTGTTTCTGTTTGGACTCTGTGTATGTATACTTGTTTTACAAGTTGCCATTATTATGATTATACATAGGAATCGCTTGGCCATGAGATCAGACTCAGTTTATATACACAAACAAGAAAGGTAGCAGAACATGAAATATTTCTTCAAATGTGGTTCATGACATGTTGTTGAGGAAGACTCAGCAAACTACTGGCATAACATCAAATCTAACAATCATGTAGTTTGCTCTATAGCTAAGAATATTAGGCATCTTATACTGCAGCAATTACTTGTTGATCTTTTTTTTTCTTTTTTCTTTTTTTTGGAGCTGGATGCCTGCTGGTTTAACCCTCTATTTCAATTTTGGAACATTGTATTACTAGGTTGGAAAAAAAAAAAACAGAAAAATTATAGGGAAGGCAATGAGTGGATAATTTTTTTCTCTATCGAGTTGCAAGTCCACTTCTTTTTTTTCTTTTTTTCTTTTTTTTCACTTCTTGTTAATACTGCATGATGTCACATACATTCTTTTATAGCCATAAGGGGGGCCATATCTTTGGAAGCTTGATTCGAGTTTGAATTGAAGGTGGTTGAGATTTTGGCATTTATATAGCCTTGTAAATCTTCATGTGACCTTCACTTCTGTTCCCAGCTAGCTTCTCTTATTCTCATCGTTTTGTGCTTAGTAAATCTGATATTGGCTGTTGATGCTTTAGAGAGACTCAAATAGTCCCTGACATCGAATTGGTTGTGCATAACATAGAATATGTTTCTCACAGAAAGCGTGAATTTCATGTTTTTCAAGAGCAGCGCGCCTTTTAAACAAACATACTCTTATTTGTGTGTCATGGAATCTAGTTACTGATATGTTTCCTCTTTTCCTGGACAGTGCTTTGGGTCAAGTTTCGTCCACGATGGAAGCGATGCGCCAACCTCGCCACCACAACATATCGATCCATATGAACTGCTGGAAGATGAAAGAATGTCTCAAACAGCTCCTAGTTTAAAATGAACCACCAAAAAAAGCTTTTGTAAAACCAGTTCCTTGATATTCTGTCTGCCCTGGTTAATTATTTATCGTTGTATATGCTATCAACAATTGGATCTCCAGCATCTGTCACAATATTCTCAATTTCCAGTTGCTTGCTGGGATGACAGGAAAGATGTTCTTGGTCTCATTGCAGAAGTGTTTGAATCTCGGAGTATGACTTGTAACCATTAGATTCCTGTCGTGCATGTAACATGCAATTTAAGTGCGCGCAGCAGAATGTATTTATATATATGAGCATTAGTTATCTTAATTCATGTTGATGATATTTATTTTCATACATTTTTAAACATCTAGTTTTTATAAATCGTTGAGGGTCGACGTGGTTGCGTGAAAATTTGAGTTGACTTTATAAAGTCTTTCTCCCTCCCAAATGAATTATAAGGAGTTGTGTTACCTGAAATGAATAATTAATTATGTTTCTCAACTGAAAATTAAAAAAAAAAAAAATGGTTGCATCATCAATTCAAATGAGGTGTAGAATCAAATAAATCTGAAATCTAAAAAACACTCCTTTTATTGTATGCTTAAAAGCCTCCTAATGCCACAGTGCTTGAAAAAGGCTCAATCCACTAGATCACATTCCATATAGAATAGGAAACATGTCGCAGTAGCTTAAAATATAAAAGGGTTC